AAAGTTGGCTAAATGAATGCCGAGCAGATGGTGGTGGTGATGCACCAGAGGCAGTGGCAGATGCACTCCACGAAGTTCTCAATCTGTCATGGCGTCCAGAAGCAACCAGAATCTGTATTCTGATTTCTGATGCACCACCGCACGGTCTCGATCCGACTGGTGATAGTTTTCCGAATGGATGTCCTGCTGGTTACGATCCATTAAGACTGGCACGCGACATGGGCGAGCATCGTATCACGTTGTATGCAGTTGGTGTTGAACCACCAATAGGTTAGTTCTTTTGAAATCTTTTGATTTGTATCTAAATCGGCTTCTCTCTCTTTGTTATTAGTGCGGTATCGTGATTTTTTTATGACCATTGCCTATATTACGGGTGGACAGTATTTTCCAATGGTTAATGCGCGATTATTAGCTAAAGTCATCATTGGTGGAGTACGTGAAGAGATAACCTTAGAGCGTCTGATGCAAAATGCTGATGCAGATATTGTTCGTGAAGTACAACGAGCAGAAGAGGAAGGGCTAGATGATCGAGAGACAGCCACACGCATTAATCATTATTTTGCTTCGAGAAAGACACGTACCAAGCATATGCGCAATAAAGCTGGTGCAACATCAAAGACAGCCGAAGAATGTTATTCGAAATGTGCTGACATGTCGGAGATAGCATCTAAATTTAAAACAGTAGAAATAGAGGAAGAAGAGAAAACCAGAGAAGATATGAACTATGAACTTGATGAGGACGATATGAGTTTGGAACAAGCAAAACGCATTGTTCAAAAAGCAAAAAGTCGAAAATAGATAAAATTAGTATTAGTATTGTAATTCCGATTCTCTTTTGTTTTGTTAATAAAATCAAGATTGAATAAAAAAAACGTGCAAGATATCAAGTTTGTTTTCATTTGTCTAGTGTCAATAGAAAAGAAAAAAGCAAAGAAACACAACCGAAAAATACTTGCCAAAAAGAAAAAAAACCAAGAAGTGTAGTGTTGTGCTTTGTTTTACACAGAGCACGAGTAATGCAGTCCGAAGCGTTAGACAATAAAACGCTACTCAATTTGTTCGAATATTTTGATGTTGTCGATCTTCTTCGAGCGTTTTTTGCTCTTAATGCTCGTTTTAAAGGACTTCTTGCCACACACATATGTCATTTCATTTGAATTTACGACGTATACCGAAAAAAGATTTTGATACTCTCTGTCAAAACCATTTGCGTTCGATTTCTGACCGTATCATTTTGTGTCATCTAGCGACGAAGACGAAGCACCAGGTCTACTCCAACTGTTTTTATCTCGGGACTTTAATATCGATCAATTCGTCCATTTGAAGTCGTTAACATTAACAAGTATTTATTCAAGAGATATTATGAATAGGATAGACGAACTTCATCATGTGGTTTATCTTAACATTTCTATCTGTGGTATTGCATATGATGAATCAGGTGCACAATCTATGATCACGCAAATCTGAAATCTACCAAACCTGAAGCGTGGCAAAATCGAGAGCTGTTATCAACCTAACGTTTATTTCACTGCAGAAACACCGATCTCATCTACTCTCGAGAATTTATCGATCTTTTGTGTACCGAATCCAATAAAAATAATTGATTCGCTCTATCTTTTATTTTATAGACTGCGTCTGCGAGTTCTTTCGTTGTGCCAGGGATGGGCGAGTCAAGCCATTTCTCGAGTCGAGTCGAGTCCGAGTCATTTCTTAATGATATCGAGTCGAGTCAAGTCGAGTCACCACTGTTTCCGAGTTGAGTCGAGTCGAGTCAAGCTATCTTTGTCATTTTTTCGCTCTTTAGTTGTGTTTATAAAAAAAAGTCAGCAACAAACTTTTCATCACACAAGATGTAGTTTCTAGTTTTTACGTGCATAAACCAAAATAGGTTACACCTAAAATAAAATAACACAACTTATCTAGAATAATCAACAGAATAAGAACAGTGAAATCAACTCTGTAATTTTACCCAGCGTCTCACCAAAGTAAAAAAAAGTACAATGCTTTTGTAAGCAAAAACCTAGCCTTAGACCTGTTTACAAGCAAAAATTCTCGCTCACCATGTATGTAAATTAAATGCCTTATTGCTCTCAAAAGATGGTAGAGTAGAAATATTCGCATTTGTAATACGTAAAGAATTCGATCTCATTGAAAGATCATTTTGAGAAAATGCACTTTCATCCGATACTGATATGCCCGTAACACAATTGTTTTAACATGCTTGCCAAGATATAGATATTAATTTTCTTTTAAATAAGAAGGTGGATGTGGATAAGGAGAAGATCACACACCCATACGCTTTGTTGGAAAATAGAAAATGCCAAATGAATGATGGAACGTTTTTATGATCCAAATACTGCCACACGACAATTATGTTACAGCGTAATAAAGAATATGAAGCGTGACACAATGCGAAGTTTTCCTTTATTATATTACATACACGTATAAACCCTTCAAAGATGATTCGAAACCAAAATGCGACAAAAAAACGCACAAATTCAACAATACGTGTAGGCCATCATTTTCGGTCACATGAATACACAGGTCGAAAAAAGCTCTTGAAAAAATTATTCATATACAATGTACTTTATTAGGTCGAGGTCTAAATAAATGAGAATTTGATCTTATAAATTAAGAATACTTTTTCTAAAACAGCAGATGAAACTTTTTTGAGTAAATGACTCGAGATGACTCGAGTCAAACACTCGAGTCAATGCTATCCAATTTTCGAGTCCGAGTCAAGTCAGAGTCAATCAAAAAAAGTGACTCGAGTCCAAGTCATGACTCGGACTCGCCCATCCCTGCGTTGTGCATAGAATTACTTAATGAGTATGAAGAGTTGTCAATTATCGAAACATCAATTACGACCTTGAAGCTCTTATTTAATGGTCAAGTGCATGGTTTACGAAGTCTTTTTCGATGCACGCCTTCCTTGCATCATTTAACAACTGAAATGTTGGATAATATGTTGAATGGACACGAATGAAGACAAATCATTGTGAAAAATTTACCAAAATTGAAAACGCTTCGATTTAAAATGTTTGTAAATTCATCTTATGTTCGTATCATAGATCAGCGAGTCAACGAACTCCTCAACACATTTCGTACTCCATTTTGGTTTGAAGAATGTCAATGGTACGTTTGTTGTGGTTGGAAATTGCCATCCAACAGTAATCATGACTATCAATGTTTTTACACTTTAGGGTGTGGGTAAATAAAAGACAAACACCCACCCATATCCATCCTACCCCACAAACAAAATATTACACGTTAGAATTTTTCTTTTCAATATAAATTTGTGAAATTTTATTTTCACTTATGCTTTATTTCTATATTTGTATCGCATATGGACAAGGAAAATTAATAGAACAACATGAAAGACAGAGTGAAAACCAATGAGAGTCGTGTTTTTTCCCAGTGAGCAGAAAAAAAATAAGTAGATTGTTTATAATCCTGTGGATACAGAAAGACATTGCTTATGACTACATCTAAATGAGAGTCTTTCAGTTGTCTAATGAATTTAATCTCCATTATCATAATTCTATTGCGCCATCACTCTTGAATAATGATGTCAAATTCAATAAGTGAGTCGTCAAATAATTCTACTTTCGAGAGAAATTTTCTTTTAGTAGTTCTTGCATTCGATATGAGTAAGCCTTTTTCTTTTCTCTCTTATTTTTTTTTCTGCTCACTGGGAAAAACCACGACTCACTTATTGAATTTGACATCATTCATCTTCTGTGGTAGGGCTGAATCAGTTACCTTAACTTGGAAATAGCTTAAGAAACATTGAATAAAACTTAACATTCATGAAAAGACATAATCAACTACCATTTCATTTCTTACTGTTAAGAAAAGGCCTTTCAGTTCATTATCAAAGCCAGCCATCGATAATTCTTAGACCGCAAAAATTAGAAAAAAGACTTTTGTCACATTTTATCGACTTTTTGAAATTTTCTTTTCTTTTTTTTTCTCGCTTTCAGTCGAGAAAGCTTTCATGAGATGTAAAAAAACATTCTCTGGGCGATAAAATACACTAGTACTCATCATTGTAACTTTGAGTAGCAGGGCATTGAATTTTCTGTCTTTTGAAATGTTACACAAAAGGTAAAAAGACATGCACGGAGTTTTGGTAGTAACCATATTGATGTCGTTAAGTGGCAAAATCATACAAATTCGATGCAGAATCCTACATCGAATCAAATATATTCTAGCAAAATTTATTTTTTAACGAAAATCTCATCTATAGGTACGTTTATCTCAGCATTTTTTAAAAAAAAGAAAAGCTATTCTATATTTCAGATCTGGTTTTTCGTAAAAAAACGCATTTTGCTCAAATATATAAGATGTAATGTAGTTTTTGTGCTATCATTGAGTATACTATTTATTTTGCTCTAGAAATGAAGTATAATAATGCAAATTACTAGAGAAGAACTTTTTCCTTATAGTTTCAAATGAATTTGGTACTGGAATAGGAAATAATTCAATTTTCTCAGCATAAAAGCAACATCTAAACAAGTTATAAAAAATGCTTTTAAAGTTTGGATTTTAGTAATGCGGCATGCAAATAAGACACTTCATCTTATTACTCTTGATGAAAAACTAAATACTTGGATCAACATGGCTATAAATATACTCTCTGAGATAAATTCAGTGTACTCCTGCTCGATCATATTTTTTTCCATTTTATAAAGCAAATATTAGATATTCTAAAAGTTTCTGACAAAATTATATTTGAATATCTGATTAGTTTGTCAAGCTTAATCAACTTGTTTTTCAAATGATAGGTACATGTGTAAGCGTTTTGCTGGACTGACGTATATTTTCAAAGAGAGTAGTAAGTGTAAATTTTAAGGTCAAGGCTTTCCGGCTTCTCCTTACGTCATTACAGACACAGCAACGAGAAGAGAACATTAA